ACTCCGACGAAACAGTTTGTCACAGCCCCTCGTTTGTTGTCCTCTTCTCCCTCTCTGCCTACGGTTTACCGGGCAGTTCTATTTGACGATATATATATATATATATCGTCACAAACAGAACTTTTGCCAGAAAAATGAACTGTACAACTTTTGCCTCTGGGTCACATCGAAATTCGTTACCAATTTAATATAATATAAAATTAAAAGATAATTTTATATGAAGAAGGCAAGCGAACCAAAGAGGAGAAATAAGAGGACAAACCAGAGAGTAGCCGCTTAAACCACCACCACCCCCGCCGTCCTTAACTCAGGGGGACCGGTAGCACAGATTCACGAGGACTATCCGCGGTAGCACAGTAGCGAGAGCTGGGGGAATGGCAAGAATGGAAAATGTGTAGAATTGTCGCTGCGATTTATTTCATGGTTAAAGCGATTTTTTTTTTTTTTTTTTTTTTTTTTCCCCTGGAAAGATCTTGCGGGAGTGAAAAGTTGCTGGGGGAGTGACCAAATGTACTGACCCTCCAATTTTCAGAGCTTTTGAGTCGTTCTTGTGGGAGTGAAAAGTTGCTGAAGTTGGAGTACTTTGTTGGGTTTTTTTTCTTGTTGGGATACTTTTTTTGGGATACTTTTTCTGTTGGCCCACACGTGGTAGTCACTGGTCGAGTGGCAAAAACGGAAAATGTAATGAAGCGACGCAGCATTTATTTCGCTATTCTTTTTTTTTTCCTGATATTTTTCCTGGAAAGATCACAATCTAATCTATATGGATCTCAAATTTTCAGATTTTTTCGTCAATGTTTTTTTAATTTTTAGCGTGAAAAGTCACTGAAGTTTGTGCTTGAAAATTGCGGGACTGGACCCGCCTGCACCTGCCGGTCGCCACCCCTCCGTAAAAACTGGTCCGTATAGCCAGGGAGCCGAATTTCCGATGTCGGGGGTAGCGGTGGTTTAAGGCGAAGGAACTCAAAGGAGGAGGAGAAGGTTAAGATGGAGAGGGAAAGGCGAAGGATGGTGGAGATCACGAAGGGCAAACGAAAAAGGAGGAGCTTACGCCCCATCAAAACTGTCAATGGGGAGGCGAACGAGGGGCAGAAAGAGATGGACGAGTTGAAGGGGGAGGGAGGAGAAGAGAATGAAGAAGAAGAGGGAGATGTAGAAAAAGAGGAAGGACAATAGAGTTTTAATTTTAAGGAACAAGAGGAAGCTTAAGCCCTGGCAAAACTTCAGAGGAAGCAATAGAGAAAGGGAAGAAGAAGAAGAAGATGAACAGAACAGACGAGGAAGAGGAAAAACAAGAAGAAAGAAAGGGGAATAGGCGAAGGAGAAGCGGAGGTAGAAAATCAGAAAGATACTGAAACCATCAGTACCCTGCCCAGCTATCTAGTCCGAGCCTCGGACGACGGGTAGCCCGATCATTGCCGAGCCTCGGACTACCAGTAGTACATCATGGAAAGAGGGAAAAAAGAAAACAAGTTTAGGTGACCTGGTCGGACGTCCAACACCCCCCCCGACCGTCCGTGGTTGTCCGGTCGGAGAACCGGTCGGACATCCTCCCCGGGCACTCTGTCCACGCCAAAAAAAAAAAAAAAAAAAAAAAAAAAAAAAAAAAAAAAAAAAAAAAGGTCCCAAAAAGAACTATGTTATGCTTTTGCCTTCGGATGGCTTCGAAATTCGGTATCAATACTATCAAATTTAAAATAAAAGACTCCCCCAATTTTATTTTTATTTTTTGTGCTTTTAACTGCCGAAAATGGAGTTGTCTGGGCCCAGATGCCCGGGACCCCCTGACTGGCCGGCCGGGACGTCCTGCCGTCGAACAACTGGTAACATAGAAAAAAAAACAAAAAAAAGTTTAAAAACGAAGTTAACAAACAACATTCTACCAACAAAAAAAAAAAAAGGAAATTAGACATGCCCAATGAGAATGATTCTTCCTCAATAAAGAGGAAATCCATTCTCAGTCCTTGCCTTCTCCAAAGATTCTGCGCCTTGGACCTACTGGACCACAAGGCCCGGCGGCGCCAGCCGAAAAAAAAACAAGGTGCACCGCTGGCATTTTGGCAAAGCTTGGCGCGCAGAGGAGCATCTCCCGGCTGTACTCGTGGTTTAAACCGCCAGTACCGTTCCCCAGGCAAAAAAGAAGTTCCCCGCCGGTTAACAGGGAGGGCGGGCCCAGGGCACGCGCGCCAGCTGAAAAAGAAACGAGGTGCACCGACCAGATTCATCCCGCGCGAAGGGCCAGCGGTCGACAAATGGGAAAGGCGGTGCTGGTTTCAGGACAAGCAACAAGAGTTAGTAAGCAGGGAAATACAGAATGTGTTGTTCGCGCCGCCCTACGGAGGTGAGTTGTAGACATTTATTGTTTACGTCAACCTAAATTCCCTTGCATTTCATGATGTCGACCCGTCGTGGCACCTCAGTGGAGACATAGTGGCAGTTTATCCGGAAGTCGTCATACGCATATCAGCTATTTTTTGTTAATTTTGAGCAGCAGCAACCAAAGACCAACCGGTGGTCCCCACAGCCAACCCTCCTATCATAGGAGTAACCACTCCTATGATGACCACGTCGTATCAATGTCAGTCAATCCTCTTTTCGTGTAGGAGTACCCAATCCTAACAGCCATAAAGGAGGAGGAGAGCAGGGAGTTATAAGGTTTACTTTTTACTTGAATTTGCCGGTGGAAAAGGGACCGGCCAGATGATCCCCCGACTCAGAGCAGTAAAAGCCAGTGATTACCATGGGCCCTTTCCATTCCCCCCCCCCCCAAAAAAAAAAAAAAAAGGAAAAAACAAAAGAGCTGATCTTTAGGTCACCTCCACACAGCAGGTATTTATTTGCACAACCCAGCATTTCCACATCAAGACCCGCATACGGACTTGGGTCGATGAGGGCAAAGCAAACACAACCGTCCGTTTACCCCATCCAAATGGCGGCCGATCATTCCAAATCGATGATCCAAACCCATTGTCAGACACAAACGTATGCATTCAGTTCGCACCGAAAAACTCAGTGTGGTTTTTCAAATATTTTTGTCTAACAAAACACATCCCATGCCCAACGCTGTCCACATTCTTCGTCGAAGCATATCGGAATTCGCAAACAGACAGAAAAGATGGAAAAAAATCAACGCCGCCCGCGGCCCTCAAAATTTTGCAACTTCCCAACCCCCCAAATGCAGCCACCCCACCCCAGGCCCGCCTCGATATATAATGCCGTAGGGCATCATCATTCACCACCAAAGGTTGTGGTGGTGCAACAGTCCTATGTATCTCTGGAGGGCCAGGCAACACTTTGTCGCTTTTGCTGCTTTCCAGACATGAACCTCGCACCAGTAGACCAGGTCCACGCACCCAGCGTCCGGACCTCAGTTTCCCAAGTTAGGCAAATCTCTGTGTGTGTGTGTGTGTGTGTGTGTGTGTGTGTGTGTGTGTGCAATTGAGACCTGAGCCCATGTTTTCTGCTTTTCACAGTCACCTTTCTGTGTGCAGATACTCAGATGCTTGTCATCGAACCATGTGCAACTGCGAGCGTTGGCATTTCATCACTGGTTCGTACCCTGCACAACATAACTTCAAGCACTCCGAGTATTCGAGTCCTGCTGGTTCCTTCGGGTGTGCTACTCAAGCTCACAATCCTAGACCCTTAACCAAGCAAAATACTGGAAGTAAAAGTGGGAGTTAATAAAATTAAATCAGTTCTTTTCTTCCTCGCTATCTTTCCGATATATATTTTCCACTACTTTTTCTTGAAACCCTCTTGCTAAACATGTCTCTGTCTACAATACCAGCTGTTACAGGAGTGGAATCTCTTTCTCGTTCTAGTAGCATTTAATGCATAATAAATAACATTAAAATAAGTTGTGGCCCTTATTCAGCACTCAACCAGTCAGAGCTGTGGCTCCTATTCAACGGATGGTAATCTGGTGTTGCTACTCAGCATCGGTCAATCCAGCAAGCCAATTAGAATTGAAAGTAGACGAAAAGCGCGCGGCTCGCCGCTTTCTTTCCGTCTCATTAATGAGAAAAGTGAGACGTTTCGCATGAAGTCTCTGAGGATGCTCAACAGCTTGGCCGCGACTGACATCTTCCCCAGAACATCCGTATACAGATTACTTTCCTGGCTCGATACGGTCAAAATGACCGCGCATTGTGTTCAGGGGAAAACGGCAGGCAGCATCTGCAGCCGTACTTAAGGTTTCCTCCTGATTGGGTAGTCTTCTTCCACTGAGCATGGCATCGTGAGTGTAAACTGACATTATACGGATGAACTTACTCGCTGGGCGGAACCTGAAATATATCCCGACTCTGCGTGCACAAATCCTCTGCACTTTATGCAAGTGGTGATGGAAAAAAAGTGGAAAAAAAGGGGAATCAAGTGGCAAAAGAAGGGGTACTATGGTCATTGGACTGTCAATCCGATAGCACTGTCAATCCAATAGCACAGCTAAACACACGCTGGGCTTGGTGGCGATAGTTTTAGGTCACCACCTTTTTGCTATTGGAGATTGCATCCCAGCAACCTCCTGGCCAACCTCCATATCACTTGCATACAGGCGTCGCCGCACCACTCACTAAACGCCCACTTTCTGAGCGAATCTGAACACGCAGTTCGTCCAGATAATTTCAAAGTGCCGACATTTGTTTCACGAGTGGTGCAGCGAGGCGAGGCCCTATGTCGCCGCCGACAAGACCATCTGGTAGCCAGCTCTTAATCCCTTCTCCACCCATATGTCATCATTTACTGTCAACAGGAGCAACAGGACTCGACACATTCGTCGCTGAAATTTTGGCCTCCAAGTCATGGTCTGTTTCTCCACACGTTGTGCTCTTTGTAGAGTCCTCGGACCCCAACACTTCAAACTTTTAGGGTACAGCAAGAGGGAGTAATAGCGAAGGCATGCCCGAATTTCCCCCCTGTGCCCACCAATCCCTCCCCCGCACCCCCACAACACACACACTCCATATCCCCCACTTTAAATAACGCCATGGCATTGAACAACAAGGACACAATCAGTAAACCATGTTCTCCCACCCCCGGCTGGCTACATACAAAAGCAGCCACTTGCCCTCTGTCTGATGATCTGTGCTGGCATGGGGGGAGTAATGCCAGAGACAATCAGCGCATCCATGCCTCGTCTTTGAGACAAGAACGCTACCGCACCACAAACGCCACCATGCCAAGCGATCCATCCATTATACAGGCCTAGTCTCTCTGATGATCTGCGCTGGCATGGGGTAAGCAAAATGCCAGCGACATTCATCGCATGCCTCGTCTTTGAGACAAGAATGCTACCACACCACAAACACCACCACACCAAGTGATCCATCCATTATACAGGGCTCTGAAGTGTGAGTCGACACATTTCTCTCCCTTCCTTTCAAGCGGTATCACAAGAGGAAGGAAGCATGTGCTCAGGACTCAGCCGAGTGACCACGGTTTTCCACCCCGGCCGCAAGAGCAAGGAGAGTAGGCAGCATGTACTTGCAAATGCACAAGTGCTGGTGCTGGTCCACCGCTTTAAAATCTTCCGAACAAAAAAGGGGTTAGCCCCTGACGTTATTGTATCTGTAATATTCGGTATGATTCCATCAGAAGTCGACCTCGTGATCTGTTTATGAACAGTCTGATGTGTTTACCATTCAGCCACACAGCCTGGCTCGTGCTTGTCCCCCTTTAAGTCTGTCCTGACAAGTGGTGATATCAACCAAAGCCACAGCATTTCCCACTTCACAGCAGAACATTAATCAGCAGCACCAGCAGCAGCTCCCATGCTTGTGCTCTGCGTCAATTGGGTGGAGCAAACACCTGAGAACACTCCATAACAGCCAAGTGCAACTACAGCAGTAATGCGACTACAGCAGTCAGCAGCAGCCGTCCACACTAGTAGGATGCCACCGCTGGCCACAGACGAACAGCAGATGCAGTCTCTTTTGCACCCATCACACCAAGAATCTAAGGCTATCCGACAAAGGATTGCATAGCTGGACAACCTTCCATCGCAAGCCGTTAGACAATCGCAGAACAGTCAGTGAACACATATCGCAACAACAGTACACTGCCTGGGTCATCATCAAAATTGATCGCATAAGTTCTCCTGCAATAGGCTGGAAGCCTGGAGCCAGGTGGACCAACTCTACTCTGACTTTGCGACCCTTAACATCATTGACATGGGATGTGGAAAACAGCACCACCATCATTGACAGCTACCAAGCGAGTAAACTCCCCCCCACATCAGTTCATTTCTCTTCATCTTCTTCCAGATCTCCTTGGATAGCAGCCAGTGCCACCAACCCTTGTACATGTAGAAAATGCAAAGGAGCGAGACGCCGTTGCCCTTCAATTTTCCCAAAACGTGAAGGAACTACTATGATTTCACACGATCGAGGCAGCCACCAGGTTGTTGTATAAACTGGTGGCAGGTGTAGCAAAGAGAATACGAGAACGATTCATTGCGCAAAAAGGTGAAATGTCCACCGCAATACCGTCGATGTCACAAAACCAAGGCGGAGGAGGACATATGTCAACAATCACCATCCAAAAACTAGGAAAAAGGACAGGTGAGTGCACAAGACAGCACCTCTGCGAGGCTTGCAACAACAACTTCGATTCACACAACAATAAACAGCAGCGCCGTAATTTCAGTGCCATCCGCATCAAGTGCTTTGAATAGAATATGTCAGATGTGCTTATTGCTATGCCCTGTTGTCCCTCCAATCTCCTGGCGTAAACAGTGTTGATTTGATCTTCGGCTCATGGACAGCTTTGGTGGTCATGGAAGCTTTGATGCGACGGTTTCTGCGAATGACACCATAGCCATCTAGCTCAGGAGCAGAGCAACCGCCCTCTCTCCAGCCTGCATCTGTTGTTATAGGTCAGTCATACAGAGGTTGAATATTTATCTGTCTCCAACATGGCGCTTTGCCTCAAATGCCACTTGCCTTCTTCTCAACCAACCAACCACCTTTCCCTTCGACCGATTGCTATGCTTTCCCACAGCAACCACCTCTCCCAAACCACAATATCTCCACCTGCAAATCACCGCTGTTTTGTCCCTTGACCCCAGACCTGCAACCATCAAACACGACCCTCGCATGGGGGATCGCACGTGTTTTGTCCTCTAACCCCCACCCTTGCAACCATCACCCCCCCCCCCCCCCCCCCCCCCCCCCCCCCCCCCCCCCCCCCCCCCCCCCCCCCCCCCCCCCCCCTCCTCACATTCGATTGGTCTTCTGACGCTCCTCTACATCCTATACGTTCGCTTGCACATGTTTTTGTCATCTGACCCCACTCCTGCAACCATCAAACACAACTCTCGCATTCAATGGTTTCCCGATGCCCCTCTACATCCTATTCGTCGAAACGCAGTCGTGACCTCGATCCCAATTCTTTCAACCACGCCACAGAGAACCGTGCCCTTCAGACAGGGCCCTTTTCTTGCACCCTTTCCCTGCAGCGTCCTGCAGCACATAACCACCCTGAAGCAAAAGAGCCCTTTTCCAGTACCCTCCAGGGAAACGGCCCTTTTCCAGGGCCCTAACCCCGCAGGAGCCTGCAAGGAAAGATGCAGAGAAAGGGCTATTTTCCTACGCCCTTTCCCTGCAGCATCCCTTTCCCAGCATACTGCAAGAACAGGGGCCTTCTTCTGCGCCCTCTGCCTGCCGTCCTGCAGAACATAACCATCTCCTGAACAAGGGCAAAACGGCAAACATGTGACACCTAGATCTGCCAATCCCTGCACAAAACCAAACCAACAAACATGTGAGCTTCCCCTCTTTCTGCAGCGCCAGCAGATAGATGCACACACATGAGCAACAGTACCCTGCCACACCCATCAAAATATCAGACTTTATCACCACCCGACATCACACTTGGTGATCCTTATGACTCTAACGCCTCACCGTCCCCTTACCGAGTTTCCCTCACTGCCCTACCATCAGCATCTCTCTCTCTCTCTCTCTCTCTCTCTCTCTCTCTCTCTCTCTCTCTCTCTCTCTCTCCCCTGCAAGTGATGATTGCTGAGCAGATGTGGGAATCTCCTGCGCAGCCACAGATTCATGGCGACGCTTGTGCGCTTGGCACACCACACAAACACCAGTGTTTGCTTTTGTGTTTTCGCCAACCTTGCTGCTCTTTTTAGTATGTACCCTTGTATACAAGCGATGGTTAATCACTCCCTTCCAGCTAGGTTGCTTTTGTTTTGCCCAGACGAAGCCACGCTAGGATACCCACTTTCAAAAACGCGATGCGTCTGTTATTTCTTTTAGTTATACACCAACTTGGATCCTTATCCGCTACTTTCGACAGGTACACACCAAATTGTCTCTTTATCCGTTACTTTGGTCGGGTATACACTAAATTAGTTCCTTACGATAATCATAACGGTTTGGCAATACACACACACACACACACACACACACACACACACACACACACACACACACACACACACACACACACGCACACACACACAAACGCATGGCCGAGTGGGTGTGTAGAGTAGGTTTTATGACTGTGACAGACTAGTTTCTCAGACTCGCTGCCATTCTTGTCAGGGTTTAGAGCGGCAGTGTGCTGGGATTCCAGGGTTGGTGTGAGTAAAGTCGACCACTTTCTCAGGGGAATCGCTAGCTCTGGGTGACGTGGTGAGTCCATCCTGGGCAGACTATCGAAATCAACCTCCTGATGAGTCGGTGAAAGTCCCACGAAACAGTCTGTTCGGCACAGTCATGCTTTCTTTATAGAGCTGTCTGTAGCCAACATGACAACAGACACACAAAGAGGTAAGAGTCCGACGAAACAGCCTGGCAGGCTGGCACAGCCTGCTTTTCTTTGTCGAGTTGTGCATAGCGAACATGACAACACACACACACACACACACACAAACACACAAACACACAAACACACAAACACACACACACACACAACTCAGAGACACAGACAGAGAGGGAGAGACAGTGAGACAATGAGACAGACACACAGAACCGGGAGCTGACACCCGTAATTCCTTTTTCTGTGTTGAAGGACATAACTAAGCGATAGAGTGCCACCTTCAAGGAGAAGATGGGCTCCCTTCGATAAGCTGGCAGCTGATGATGATGATTGCAGTGAAACAAGGAAATCACTCCCGCTTGTCGACTTCTTTCTCGAAAATACTCTTGAGAGCGAAAAGAGAGTGGCTGGAATCAATCTGACGATACAAAATAAACGGTACACACTACCAAGAAAAAACATAGACAGAAAAACAAGAAAAACCGAGTAAAGAGCCAACATCCACTGAGAACATAATGACCACTTGGGGGAGGTGGGGATAGCGAGAGAGAGAGAGAACCAACCACACAGCTCCTCGACTTCCTCGCTATGAGATCAAGGGATAGAGACGTATTCTCTCTGATCAGAGACGAGCGATCCAACCAACGGAAGAAAGAACGGTCTCCACATACTAGGGAACAGACGGCCAGTTCCTACCTTCTTCCGCCGAATACAACGTACGGCCATTATAGCTGTATTTGGGGTATCTTTCAGTCTAAAAACAGCTATAATGACCGTACGTTGTATTCGGGGGAAGAATGTAGAATGCATAATCAATCCTACAACAAACCACCCGTCTCGTTGAGGAAAAAACGGAACAACAAAGGAGACAATCGCATGGGATTCTGTCTTTTGTCGCACTCTCTTGCCTCTCTCTATCTCCGTGCGTCACACTGTTCTGACTTTCTCTGTCGCATTGTTGTCTTGGTCACATTGTTCTGATTCTGCCTCTGCCTCTGACGCCCTCTTCTGTCTCTGTCGCTCTATTCGGTTTCTGTCGCACAGTTCCGACGCACTATTCGGTTTCTATTGCATTGTTCCGTGGCACTATTCGGTTCGTTTACGCAGTGTTCGGTTTCTGACGCAGTGTTGTGTCACTGTCGCACTATTCGGTTTCGGTCATACTGTTCAATTCTTACGCATTGTTCTCTCTGTCGCACTAATACGTTTTTGTCGCACAGAAAAATTATTGATTCTCCCGTTAGACGGACGCTATTGTGAGCAGTGCGACAGAGACGAAGACCATTTTTTGTGCCCTAACTTCGCATTGGCGCACATTGAAAAGCCCCCTCCTGGTCCTTCGGGACATCCATTAAAATTGGAACGACACAGAGAAAGAGAACACTAGCATGGCCCCTGCGCTAAGGACGACACGCATGAAACGAGAAATAGTCCAACTTTAATTAAAAAAAGAATTAAAAAAAGCCCAGCTGGGACATTCCTCGAGGTCGGGATCCCCATACTGCTGCGATCGGGCGAACATGAGCTGTCTCGCCTTCCCTTACCCGAGAAAGAAGAAGAGGACTGCCCGCGAGAACAACCTTTGCTGTCGGGACGACCGGTCCCTAGTTAGTGTTTTGTTGTCGTCATTTCCACATCAAATTAACTTCGCAACCAAAAAGAAAAAGAGAGGGGGGGGGGAGGGAGGGGGAACGACGGCAACAAAACACTAACGATCGGTCGTTGAGATCGGCAGCCGCCCGACCAACGAAAACAAAAAGAGATAGCACTACATCGATGAGGACTACCCCGTCTTCACAAGAAGAGAAATCCCGGTCAGCATTACAACTGTATGTGGCGCAAGTTCCAGTATAGATACCGACTATAATGACCAGGTGTTCTATTCGGGTGAAGGCTTGAGAAAAGAACGAGGTTAAATCATAACACGTCAAATAAAACAAAAGGAAATTGACGACGCAACAAGCCAAGGGAATCTGCTGATGTGCCAATACGTGCAGACAAACCCTACACGATAGGACCTCGCTTCACTACTCACCTAAAGTGCAAAACGAGAATGAATCTTCCGCTAGAAAATGGGAAGATACACCGCCATATTCTTTGTCGTTTGTGCAAGAGGAGAGTAGGGGAGCGAGGCCCATACACTTAAAGTTCTTTTACCCTCGAAATTACCCCCTCTTCTCTCCACATACACCCTTACTTCCACATTCTTTATCGTTTGTGCAAGAGGAGAGTAGGGGAGCGACGCCCATATTCACAGAATACTCTCAAGCAAGAAAAAAAAGAACCAAGGAACAAACAAGACGAGGAACGAAGAAACAAGCGGCGAAAAGTGTAACCGCTTTCATCTCTGCGAGAAATCAATATACTTATAACATGATGGGCGGCAATGGCAGATAGCAGGCTTACGTACCTAAAATAGGGGATGCGCGTCTTGAAACAAGCCCTCGCCCCGATCAGCAGGTCCTTTTAAGATCGACGTCTTCCTCTTCTACAACCCCCGCCGCCATTATTTACCGCCGACGATGGGCATGCCACGTGGAGACGTCTGGCAAGGATCCCTCCGCAACATCGCTGCTTTGAAACGACCACAGCGCGGCGATCAGGAGGAGGAAAAGAGGAGAAAGCATAAAGAAAGGCATCACCGACAAAGATGATAATGGCGAAACAAGGATGACAAAAATTGCAATGATGATGATGATGACGATGAGGATGAGGATGATAAGGATGATAAGGATGATGACGGCAACCTTGACTGAGTGAGCGGCCGAGCGAATCTGATCCATCAAATCAATCGCCAACCACAATTTCCGCAATACGAACGACGCACGCCGTACACAACCACCCGTTCACTATCCTACTGCTGCTTCACACGCCTTTTTAAAGGCGACCTCGCTCTACCTCCCCCCCTCTTCTTTTGGTTCTACTCAACTCCCAGTTACCCCCGCCCCCTTCTCTCTCTCTCTCTCTCTCTCTATATATATATCGTCACAAATAGAACTGCCCGGTAAATATATCTATCTATCTATCTATCTATCCATCCCTCGCATTGTTTACAAAGGGAGACAGATTGCCACGCGCGAATCACGCGCGAACCCGCATTCACACAGAGCACACAAATGACACAACACAGCACAACCGTTCATCCTCGCCGTGGCGTCCTAAGATTGCTAAGTACTCACAACCGCAGCTACGAGTAGATGAGGAAAGAGATCGAGAATTCGCCGAGCCTTCTAACGGCTAGGAATACACGGCATCGCAACATACCGCTCCCCCTCTCCCCCTCTCTCTCTCTCTCTCTCTCTCTCTCTCTCTCTCTCTCTCTCTCTCTCTCTCTCTCTCTCTCT